AAATTGCCTAACAGCTCTGGTCTGTTTCAGGGTTTGCCGGGGAGTGTGGGGCTCCCAGGTCTGATAGGTCGAGAGGGGCCAAAGGTGAGTCTGATTGGCCAATCAGGCGCGTCGGAACCGTGACTGACAGGTGTGTGTTGCAGGGCATGATGGGAGATGTAGGCGCCAAAGGAGAAGACCGCGACATGACCCTGAGAGGTGAGTCTGGTTATGATCCGGGTCTTTGTGTGACACGGGGGAAAAGAGCGGGAGAGACATTCTGTGAACCAGGACTAAATCAGGACTAAACAAGGTAACAAAATCCTGCTCTTGTCCAGGTCCAGATGGAGACCCTGGGAGACCTGGACCCAGAGGATTTCCTGGAGACCTTGGTCCAATGGGAAATCCAGGACTTCCAGGAGAACCAGGAAGATCTTTACCAGGTACAAACTACAGCTAAACCAGGTCTGAGCCAGGACTAAACCAGGTCTGAACCTGGACTGAACTCTAAACCCGTTATCTGGTCCTCAGGTCGCGCGGGACCTCCTGGACCTCCTGGAGTTCCCGGGCTTCAGGGAGACAAAGGAGAGCCTGGTCCACCCTCCAGTGACCGACCTCCTGAAGGAGAACCGGGCAAACGAGGATCGGCCGGACCCCCAGGACCCAAAGGAGCCAAAGGAAAACCAGGTGTGAGGAGCACTGTGACCCACTCTGGGTCAAATGTAAAAGACAAACCCTAAACCTCAAACCCTCCTGACGGCGACCACAGTGCACCCTGACCGCACCTGTCTAACGCCGGCGACAGGCGAGGTCAGGGCGACAGGTGAGGTCAGGGCGACAGGTGAGGTCAGGGCGACAGGTGAGGTCAGGGCGACAGGTGAGGTCAGGGCGACAGGTGAGGTCAGGGCGACAGGTGAGATCAGGGTAAACCTGACCCGGGTGTGACTCTGAGGAGCTCTGAAGGTCTCATTCGAAAATGTGTGGTTCTGTGTGGTTCTGTGTGTGGTTCCGTTTGGTTCTGTGTGGTTCCGTTTGGTTCTGTGTGGTTCCGTTTGGTTCCGTTTGGTTCCGTGTGGTTCCGTTTGGTTCTGTGTGGTTCCGTTTGGTTCTGTGTGGTTCTGTGTGGTTCCGTTTGGTTCCGTGTGGTTCTGTTTGTTTTAGATGTTTAAATGCAGTGCCGGTTCTGTTCTGAAGTGTTCTCCTGTTCTCAGGGTTCTACTGTGGACCCGGGTCTGCTGGAGAACAAGGTGACCCAGGAGACCCGGGCTTCACCGGAGAACCAGGCTCCAGAGGAACCAAAGGTAAACCTGGTCTAGTCCTGGTTTAATTTCTGTAATCCAGGTTGAGTCCGGGTTCAGTCCTGGTTCTGGTTTTGGTCTCTGCAGGTCTGCCCGGTCCGTGTAACTGTGGTCCAGCGCCTCCGCGAGGTCCTCCAGGAGATCCAGGACCTCAGGGATTCGATGGACCTCAAGGAAAACGAGGACCAGTTGGACTCAGAGGAGAGAGAGGGTCTGAGGGAGAACCAGGGGCCCCGGGGCCTCAGGTAAGACCAGGACTAAGACCAGGACCAAGACCTGGACTAAGACCTGGACCAAGACTAGGACTAAAACCAGGACTAAAACCAGGACTAAGACCTGGACTAAGACCAGGACTAAGACCTGGACTAAAACCTGGACTAAGACCAGGACTAAGACATGGACTAAGACATGGACTAAGACCAGGACTAAGACCAGGACTAAGACCAGGACTAAGACCAGAACCAAGACCAGGACTAAGACCTGGACTAAGATCAGGACCAAGACCAGGACTAAGACCATGGACTAAGACAGGACTAAGACATGGACTAAGACCAGGACTAAGACCAGGACTAAGACCAGGACTAAGACCAGAACCAAGACCTGGACTAAGACCTGGACCAAGACTAGGACTAAAACCAGGACTAAAACCAGGACTAAGACCTGGACTAAGACCAGGACTAAGACCTGGACTAAAACCTGGACTAAGACCAGGACTAAGACATGGACTAAGACATGGACTAAGACATGGACTAAGACCAGGACTAAGACCAGGACTAAGACCAGGACTAAGACCAGAACCAAGACCAGGACTAAGACCTGGACTAAGACCAGGACCAAGACCTGGACTAAGACCTGGACCAAGACTAGGACTAAAACCAGGACTAAAACCAGGACTAAGACCTGGACTAAGACCAGGACTAAGACCTGGACTAAAACCTGGACTAAGACCAGGACTAAGACATGGACTAAGACATGGACTAAGACCAGGACTAAGACCCAGAACCAAGACCAGGACTAAGACCTGGACTAAGATCAGGACCAAGACCAGGACTAAGACCAGGACTAAGACCAGGACTAAGACCTGGACTAAAACCAGGACCAAGACCAAGTGTGTCTTTGTGTGTGTTGTATAATCTTGTTGTGTGTGTTGTGTGTGTTGTGTGTGTGTGTGTGTGTTGTGTTGTGTGTGTGTGTTGTGTGTGTTGTGTGTGTGTTGTGTGTATGTGTTGTGTGTGTGTGTCGTGTGTGTCGTGTGTGTTGTGTGTGTTGTGTGTGTGTGTGTGTGTGTGTGTGTGTGTGTGTGTGTGTGTTGTGTGTGTGTGTGTGTGTGTGTGTGTGTGTGTGTGTGTGTGTGTGTGTGTGTGTTGTGTGTGTGTGTGTGTGTGTGTGTGTGTGTGTGTGTGTGTGTGTGTGTGTTGTGTGTGTGTGTGTGTGTGTGTGTGTGTGTGTGTGTGTGTGTGTGTGTGTGTGTGTGTGTGTGTGTGTGTGTGTGTGTGTGTGTGTGTGTGTGTGTGTTGTGTGTGTGTGTGTGTTGTGTGTTGTGTGTGTGTGTTGTGTGTGTGTGTGTGTGTGTGTGTGTGTGTGTGTGTGTGTGTGTTGTGTGTGTGTGTGTGTGTGTGTTGTGTGTGTGTGTGTGTGTGTGTGTGTGTGTGTGTGTGTGTGTGTGTGTGTGTGTTGTGTGTGTGTGTGTGTGTTGTGTGTGTGTGTGTTGTGTGTGTGTGTGTGTGTGTGTGTTGTGTGTGTGTGTGTGTGTGTGTGTGTGTGTGTGTTGTGTGTGTGTGTGTGTGTGTGTTGTGTGTGTGTGTGTGTGTGTGTGTTGTGTGTTTCAGGGTCTTCGGGGGTTTCCTGGAGTCAAGGGAGTCAAAGGTCAAAAAGGCGTCCAGCAGCAGCGCGACCTGACAGGTGAGTGTGTCCCTGTCTGTCCCTGTCAATCTCACGTGTCTCTCGTGTCTCACGTGTCTCACGTGTCTCTCGTGTCTCTCGTGTCTCGTGTCTCACGTGTCTCGTGTCTCTCGTGTCTCTCGTGTCTCACGTGTCTCTCGTGTCTCTCGTGTCTCACGTGTCTCTCGTGTCTCTCGTGTCTCTCGTGTCTCGTGTCTCACGTGTCTCTCGTGTCTCACGTGTCTCACGTGTCTCGTGTCTCACGTGTCTCACGTGTCTCTCACGTGTCTCACGTGTCTCACGTGTCTCTCGTGTCTCTCGTGTCTCACGTGTCTCACGTGTCTCTCGTGTCTCTCGTGTCTCACGTGTCTCGTGTCTCACGTGTCTCTCGTGTCTCGTGTCTCTGTCTCACGTGTCCTCTCTCGTGTCTCACGTGTCTCGTGTCTCTCGTGTCTCTCACGTGTCTCTCTCACGTGTCTCACGTGTCTCACGTGTCTCTCGTGTCTCTCGTGTCTCACGTGTCTCTCGTGTCTCTCGTGTCTCACGTGTCTCTCACGTGTCTCTCGTGTCTCACTCTCGTGTCTCTCTCTCGTGTCTCTCGTGTCTCTCGTGTCTCACGTGTCTCGTGTCTCGTGTCTCTCGTGTCTCTCGTGTCTCACGTGTCTCTCGTGTCTCTCGTGTCTCTCGTGTCTCACGTGTCTCACGTGTCTCACGTGTCTCTCGTGTCTCTCGTGTCTCTCGTGTCTCTCGTGTCTCACGTGTCTCACGTGTCTCACGTGTCTCACGTGTCTCTCGTGTCTCTCGTGTCTCGTGTCTCTCGTGTCTCACGTGTCTCACGTGTCTCTCGTGTCTTTGTCTCAGGGGGGAGGGGGACCCGTGGAGACCCTGGAGCTGCAGGAGTCCCGGGTCTCAGCGGAGAACCCGGACAAGACGGACCCCAGGGACCCAAAGGAGACCCAGGACCAAAGGTGAGTCCAATATACCTGGTCTAGTCCTGGTCTAGTCCTGGTCTAGTCCTGGTCTAGTTCTGGTCTAGTCCTGGTCTAGTCCTGGTCTAGTTCTGGTCTAGTCCTGGTCTAAGTGTGTGTCTTTCAGGGAGACAGTGTCCCTGGTTACCCTGGCGACTCTGGACCTCGGGGTCGGGCTGGACCTCGGGGCCTCCAAGGTCCCGTTGGCCCCGTGGGGCCGTCTGTGCCTGGGGCTGTGGGAGACAGAGGGGACCCCGGAGACGCTGGACCTCCAGGGGCCCCAGGACGCTCCGGGCCCCCGGGGCCCAAAGGTGAGAGTGACAAACAGAGAGTGCACCTGACACCAGAGGAGGGCCCCTGACACACAGGAGGGCCCCTGACACACAGGAGGACCCCTGACACAATGGAGGGCCCCTGACACAATGGAGGGCCCCTGACACACAGGAGGACCCCTGACACACAGGAGGGCCCCTGACACACAGGAGGACCCCTGACACAATGGAGGGCCCCTGACACACAGGAGGGCCCCTGACACACAGGAGGACCCCTGACACAATGGAGGGCCCCTGACACACAGGAGGACCCCTGACACAATGGAGGGCCCCTGACACACAGGAGGACCCCTGACACACAGGAGGACCCCTGACACAATGGAGGGCCCCTGACACACAGGAGGGCCCCTGACACACAGGAGGGCCCCTGACACACAGGGCCCCTGACACACAGGAGGACCCCTGACACACAGGAGGGCCCCTGACACACAGGAGGACCCCTGACACAGTGTGGTTCTGTTCTAGGAGACGTCTTTCCCTGTGTTCCCAAGAATCCAGGAGCTCCTGGAGAAAAAGGAGACGCCGGAGAGACAGGTGTGTGT